TGCAAAAATTGTTTGTGATGAAAATACAATACAAAATCTGTGAGAGGGACATCTAAGTAACCTCTGATTTAGGGTGCTCTGCTTGATTAGCACTGTTATGTTGAAGCTGAAACAGCTCCAAAAGTGTACTCATTAATTTCAAATCCTGCACTTTGAGTTTGAAGGGATTATTGTTTTATTAATGCTGTATTAACAGCTAATCACATTATACTTACTTAGGATAAGTTTTAAAATTAAAAGCTTTATGTAATCCTACAATAAGGAGTCACATTTTGCTTGGAATCAGTGGGATAATATCATACCATGCATATTTATAAGGCGTCCTTGTCCATAGCAAGGGGATTGGAATAAGATGATCTTTGAGGTTCCTTCAAACCTGAGCCATTCTATGGTATTTCTTAGGTAAACACCAGAACTAATCTGTATTAACTCCAATTGTTGCAAAATAATTTCTAATCAGAGCTGGTAGGATTTCCAACAAAATGCCATCACAGTGAAAAAGACAAAAATATAGTGTGGCATTTTTTCCTTCCCAACTTCTATTTCTAACCCTGGTTATGACTTCATAAAGGCATCTGCATTTCAGTAAACTTTCTCTAGTGGTAATGGTATGTGAATTGTTATCAACCCTTGTGAAATTCTTTTGATTACAACAAAGTTAGGAAAGCCAAAATGCCACAAACTGAGAGTTGCACCAGCTGTGAGCACAATTCATCTCACGCAATGCCTGAATCACAGGGGTGTTGTCCTGCTGCCTGGGGACTGGAAAAGTTTTACTTTTGAATTACTACAAATCTAAAATCTCATCTGACAGAATTAATTCATTTCTACATCAGAACATGCAGAATCAGAAGATTTTTTTCCTTTAATTACAAAACTAGAATAAAATATCTGTCTCATATAAATTATAAAATGCTTACTTTTTACTGGTTTTTTTTCTTTCAGGTCATTGTACAGTTTTCCAAAATAAGATCACAACTTTCAATGGTGTTGAATTTAACTATTCAATGCCTGTAAAGTGCTACCATGTCTTGGTGCAGGACTGTAGTCCAGAGCTTAAATTCCTGGTGATGGTGAAAAGACTTGAAGAGGCTGCTGACCTTATAGCAGTAAATGTCAGAGTCGCCAGCCAGTAAGTAATTGAAAACTTAATAAAAAATAGATGCCAAGCTGAATATGCTATAAATGAAGATCAGATTGGCAGGGCAGCATTAGATCCATGCAGAAAGTACTGATGTCAATGGAAAGATATCTAGGAGTGTCACTGAAATTTGGGACTTTGTCTTTTAAAAGTGCTTCTGAAATATATCTGAGGTTCATAGCAACCTCAAGACTTTAATGCCACATATTCTTCATTAATTTGTTGGAACTTAACCATCTCATTTCAGTACTTAGTGATTAGGCAGACACATAAATTTTAATCATTCGTCTGGCCTTCTACACTAAGCTAATAATTAGAACAAATTAGAACCCACACTCATTACACAGAGTTGTTGAGAAGTGGACATAGCTAAAAAGGGCATTACTTATCCCAGATTAGAGGCACTCTCTTAGGACATCTCTCAGTCGGTACATAATATTCTAATCTATTTGAAATTCATTTAAGATACACTTTGTTTCAGCCTGGAGCAATCACCCCTAAATTGTATGGGATTATGCATACTAAAATCATTGCAGGGAGTGTTCTTCAAAGCACATAAATAGACTTTGATCTGTAAGGTTTCATTACAAGTAATTGTTTATTTCTGAAAAATGTGTGCCTAACCGTGCCATAGTGTTAGAGAAACAGAGGGAATCCAGTATTCCCTGCACCTGTTTTGTGGAAGAACACAAGGATGCTTGTTTTATAGACTGTATCTTTTGTGATAAAGACATTCCTCATCACTGAATCATTCCTGATTGTTTCATGCAATTGTATGGATGTGCTTTTGATGTGCTTGAGCTTCATATTTCTTCTATTAGAGGAAACACTGCTCTGAAGAAAATACTACAATACACAACCTGTTCAGGCTGTAAGAGAACTGCCCTAGGGAACCCAACCTTCCTTTGAAATGTAAAGCACCTTCCATTTATGTGAAGGTCATAGCAATTGGGTGGCTCTGCAGCAAGGCTCCTGCAGCCTGGTGTCTCCCTGCCTGTGCCATGGCCATGAGCAGCCCCCCAGAGATGGGTACAGCCAGGAGAGGGGCACTGGGAGCCCTCCTGCTGGCACACTCACCTGGGCCCCCAGCCTTCCCCTAAAGGGCAGATTCATGCCAGGATGATATGAGCATCCTGCAGTGATGGTTCTGCCAGAACAGCAAATTATAAGCTGAGTAGGGCAAAGGAGAAGCATTTGTTTACACTAATTTCCTTTATTTAAAGTGAGATTGACATGTATGTTTCCAATGGACTCATCCAGTTGAAGATTAATGGTGTCCAAGCCCCAAAAGATTTTCCATACACATCTAATACTGGTAAGAGACTCATCTTTAGATTCTGTTTAATCTTTCCTGATCCTTTGATTAAGGAGAGGACATGATCCTGCAGACCCATCACAAGATAAAAGAGAAAGAGTTAGGAGACTAATTTGAGAAAGAGTTGGGAGACTTTAACATGCCTCCATGCAAGCTTTTCTCGTGGGTGGCAAGAAAGAGGAGCAAAGAAAGAGATGCTGGTCCTGTGTATCTTTGCACAGACCAAAAATGGAGGCCTGCAGTACATTTTGCTGATTCCAGAGACCCCCAGAACAGGAATTTAGATGACCCCTGTCACAGCCACCCCTGTGAGTGGCTTCAGCTCTTCCCAGGGCAGGGAGCAGTAGTCTTCTTACTTCCCACCATCTCTTTTGGGATTCTGTAGAGTGTGCATTATGTCCCCAGCAAATTAACAAAAGGTTCAGGGTGGATCCTAAAACAATAACTTCATTTTAGGAAAGATCACATTTTTCTTTTCTGTTGCAGCTGCAAGCATGCTGCTCAGCAGTGAAAAGAAAGGACTGACACTAAAGGCCCCAGATTATGGCATAGATAAAATATACTATGATGGGCATAAACTTGAGGTAATTTTTAAGTTACTTTCAGTGGGTTTAGTTTTAGAAGAAAAGCATTTACATGCAACTTTTCTGTATTTCCACAAAGATTCAAGTTGCTTTCTGGATGGCTGGAAAAACATGCGGCATTTGTGGAAAATATGATGCTGAGATAGAAAGAGAATATCAAACACCCAGTGGATATTTAGCTAAAGATGCTGTGAGTTTTGGTCACTCTTGGATTGTCTCAGAAGACCCCTGTACTGGAGGTACTAAGATGCCAACATATATTAATGTAATTGCCTTCATATAATTAATTAATCAATCAATCAATCACATGAATAGTTGGTTTATATTAATTGTAGCACAGTCATCTCATTTTTTGCTGATTTTGTGATTAGTAGCCACAGACTAAATGAAGAAAAAAAAATCTGTTTTTCCTGAGTTTGGTAGCTTACTGCAAGTTCTAGTTTTGTTGGGTTTTTATATCAACATCTTATGAATTTAGTAGTTACCTGGAGTTTGTGTTTTCAACTTAGAACTCTCTAAGTTGATAACTTAGTGTGAAAAGGAGGAAGTTTGACTGTTGACAAAAGTAATTTTATGTTATCTTTAATAGTTTCATTCTTTATTTTACTTCTGTTATTTACAGTCTTTTAGTTTAGATTTAAAATATCATATCTAGCCCTGACTATCAAACTAGAGGGCATTTGAGGTGGGAAAAACTTGTTTTAATGTCCTCAGGCTGAAGATTAACACAGTCTGAAAACTTCAGCCTGGGAATGACTGATTGTTCTTGCCATCCAGGTCCTACATAAAAACATGAATGTGTTGGTTACATTAGGGTGCACTACACATTTTGTGTGGAACACAACCCTGTGGGCATGTGTTGGCCTTTCTGTAATATTTTCTTAGATCAAGTTTCTCCGGGGTGGCTGGATCATAGACTTAAGGACTAAGCTACTCAGCCATGGCAAAGCAGGTGTGGTGCTGCTCACAGTACAGAGAGGATATGCCTTGGAGCCACTGCTGCCCCAAAATGAAGTGCTGTCTTAGTTTCAGTAAAGTTGAGTGTCAGCTGACCAAGGTTTTCACATGTATCTTTTCGGATTTGGACATCAGTGTCCCATCCAGATCCCATCTCTGTCCTTGCAACTGTGCTCCATGTGCCTCATTTTCTCACAGCCTGAGCCTTTGACAAAAAATTGATTCACTTCAACCTGATTACCTTCATCTAGCTGTGTCACACTGTTCATCCATTGGTCTTAGTGTTTGCCAGTTCTACAAATTAACTACTGAAGGCTATTTGTCTAAACTCTGTGCATGCTTTAAGAGAGTTCATGTTTTGTAGCTTGTAAACTGCAGCACAAACTTGTCAAAAGTGAGAAGCCACTTTCATTTGAGAAGGCAGCAGAAAAATGTTTCTCCGTGGAGCCAGTCCTTCGCTGTGTGAAAGGCTGCTCAGCAACCCAGACTGTTTCCGTGTCCGTGGGCTTCCACTGCGTTCCAGCCGGTGAGTCTGGTGAGCTGTGCACGCCACGCTGTGTCACCGGGGTTCTGTGAAAAACCGCACTGACACAGGAGCGCCCCGATGTAAAACCAACCCTGCTCTCCTTTCTCCCCCAGACTCCGCTCTCAGCCTGGACGGGCAGCTTCGGCTGGACCAGAAATCCGAGGATGTCGTGAGTTCGGTGTCCGCTCACACGGCGTGTTCGTGCCAGCAGCAGTGCCCGGCCTGAGCCCCGCTCCGGCCTCGCTCCGCCCGGCCGCCTCGGGCAGCGGGGATCGGCCCCGTGCCCTCCGGGAGGCCTCTCTGCTCTGCTTCTTCTCCCGGGGATCCTGGAAACAACCCGGGCACCCGGCCCCGGGGTGACCTTTCAATAAACAGCTGCTCTCTGAACTCTGGCCGAGCTCATTTGTCCCTGCACAAGCGGCGCGCTGGGCCCGGCTCCGCCCGGGCCCGCCCCGGGGCCGAGGCTGCGCGGCCGGGCCGGCACCGGCGGCCATGGGGCGGCCGTGGGGCGGGTGGCTGCTGCCCGTCGGTCTCCTGCAGCTGCTGGGCCCTGCCGGCGCCTGCCCCTGCCGGGACCCGCGGCTGTGCCAGCCCGTCACGGGCCCCGCCGGCTTCGAGGTGCGCGGCCCCGGCCCGGGCGGGCGCTGGCGGCGCAGGCGGGGCCGGGCCCGGCAGCAGCGCCGCTCGCAGCAAGTACCGCGCCCCGGGCGACGCTCTCGAACGGGGGCCCTGCGCTCGGTCCAGGCCGGGCAGGGTCCCCAGGCATTGTGCCCGGGCTGGGCAGTGTCCCCGGGCAGTGTCCCGCACTCGGCCCCGGCTGCCATCCCTGCCCAGCGGGGATGTGCCGGTGCGGGAGCCGCGGGAGAATGCTGCTCCTGCTGAGAAGCGCTCAGGGATAACCAGGGTGCGTTTTACCCCTTTTCCAGGTATTCGTGTTTGATGTGGGGAAGGAAGCCTGGAAATCCTACGACTGGTCCAAAATTACCACTGTGGCAGCTTTCGGGAAGTACGATCCTGAGCTCACGTGCTATGCCCACTCCAAAGGCTCGAGGGTAGTACTGAAAGGTTGGTTACACTGGAGAAACATGGGTGTTTATGATACGGGAATAAGATAAGGTGCACAGGGCTATATTACTTTGACATTTTACATTCAGTTGTATGCAGAGTATTAAAATCATTAAGAGAATTAATTAATAAGGCTTTAATGAACCCTTGACATTTTGCATGTGCTGGTATGCAGGGTATTGAAACCAACAGTGGATTGTGCCACAGTAGTAACCAAACCATCCCAGTGACATCTTAATAAAAGTTCTCTTAACAGGGAATATCATTGCTATGGGGAAAGAGGGAGGAAAGAAAAAGCCGGATATTTGGGTCTGTATGCTGGATTTTATGTGGAGTACACAAAAGACTATGTAAGGAAAGGGATTTTAAGTAATTAGTATTTTGCACTTAAATTAATCCCTCTGTATTAGGAAGTGGTTGAGTTTTAAAACATGCTTACTCAGGAACTCTGTGCAGGTACAAATGTTGATTAGAAAGACAAAGTTCATTAGCTTACATGTTGTAAATACCTTTTGGCTCTGTTGAGAAAAAGCAGAATCCAGGACTACATTGTGGAAAATAGCAAATGTTAAACACAAAAGTAGCTTTCCTCTAAATATGACCAGTTAAAATGCTAAAAGTACTTTGATTTCAAAAAAGGTAATTTACAATAGCTAAAAGAATATTAAGCAGAAGCAAGAAGATTAAAATTATAGATAAAGAAAGGAACTTAATTTTAACACCACTCTCTCAAAGGACCTTGGTAATCTTTTTTGGGGTGGTTTCTCAAAATTATGCTCAAGGAAAAAATGAACTCCTTTGTATTTTACCAGTATTGATATGGGCATTTTTAATGTTGTGTTTAAATTTGTTGGTAAACTAAAGACAAACTTTTCCTTCCTACTATTACTGTGGTGCAAATGCATGTTAACTCTTGAAGGCCTCTTGTCCAGGTGATGTACCTCTTCAGGAAATTGTTGATCCTGCTAAAAGAGCAGCATGGATATCCCAACAGGTGGATCTTGCAAAAAAGCAGTATATGGATGGAATTAACTTAGATATAGAGCAAGAAGTTAATGAAACCTCCCCTGAGTATTATGCATTGACAGAGCTTGTTAAAGAAACTACAGATGCTTTTCACAGAGAAATAGCTGGATCACAGGTAATAATAATGTACTTTATGCAAACATTAAATTTATCCTTATGAAATGTAAGGACTTTTGGCAGTGCTGTTTAGCAGATGAAAAAGTTTATGCAGATCTAAATATAATATTCTAGTGAATGCTTAATTATGAATGTTAGCTGTGATATAATCTTGTAAGAATCACTCTTTTTGACCTGTGTGAATTTCAATGAGAGATGGGCTTTGCTGAGATTTGTACATGCAATGTTACTGCTATGTGTGAGCTGGCAGTTTTTAGTGTGCCTTAATGAATTGTTGAAAGTAGGGCAAATACAGCCCTCTGGGGCAAAAGCTTGATAGTGTTTCGGTAAACCTGTGATGAAAGTTTTCAAGATTTGCACCATGCTTCATATTTTGGGGGGTTTTCATATTATATTTTAATTTCTTTGGTGCTATATGTTCACTAATGGGGTACTCACTTTATTATCTTCTGTTTGTTTTATCAGATGAGCAGCTTCTTCTATAGTTCATTATTATCAAGATGTGTTAAACTGTACCATTTGGGAAATACTGTCTTTAAAAGTCATAACTTTTTATTTAGGAGATAACAAGGGCTCCTGAGTGCCATACTTGTTACTAAGTTGTGCATTTTTCCTTCAGGTAACCTTTGATGTGGCTTGGTCTCCAGCATGCATAGATAAAAGGTGCTACAACTACACTGGGATTGCAGATGCCTGTGACTTCTTATTTGTGATGTCATATGATGAACAGAGCCAGATCTGGACAGACTGTGTTGCAAAAGCCAATGCTCCTTACCTGCAGACTTTAGTTGGTGAGGACTGAACACCTCCCCAAGAGTCAGAACATTGCCATTTGCTCACATGAGTAGATAGAAAAGAGGGCTTTTTCTCAGACAGGTTTCTTTTGCTATTGTTGCAGTGAGGCTTTGAGTGTGCTCAGATGTGTGTTGCCAGGGTATGAACACAGTGTCCCTGGTCCTTATGAGCCTGCAGACAGGCAGACCTTCAGCATTGTGTGTTGGTCCCTGTAACCTCAGGAGTGCAAAGAACGCTTTTGGAATGACAAATGGCAGCCAGAGCAGTGGTGTCTGCCTGGGATTGCAGAGAACCTGAAACATTTCTCTCATCTTTTGAACCTCTGCTCAGGGCAGATGGTTTTAAATGTGAGAAACTGGAGCAGTTACTGGGATCTCAGCAGACCAAGCCTCTCACTCACTGGAGAGCGCAGGTTGAAGGCAAAGGACAGCTTGCACCTTGGTTTCTGGGTATGATGCAATGGCTCTGGCTCTAAATTAATTGTAAGAATAAAAAGTATAGGAAAAGTAAATAATGCATGTTAATTTTTGTTTCCCTCAAAACTAGGATATGAAGAGTACATTGCTATGGGCATTGATCCTAAGAAGCTTGTGATGGGTGTCCCCTGGTATGGCTATGACTATGTCTGCCAAAACCTGTCCACGGTAAGGTGAAGATTGTTTGTTTGCAATCAAACTGTTAATTTTTTTCTTTGGCTGATAACTCATGGGCAGTGTGTTACCAGACATTTTAGCTCCTTAGGCAGCCTGAACCCCATGACATCCAAGCCCTGTGTTTGGCTAAGGAGCTATAAATGTTATCTGTATGAGAAGAGATGAAGTCCAAAGGCCCTACAACACTTTTATGTGCCTTCTGAACACCACTGTAAAGACAGGTGCAACAAACCATAGCAAACCTACGACTGTTACAGCATAGCAGTTTATGAGGTCTCAAATATTATGAAAAATGTAAGGGTCAATTAAAGGTGGAAAAGATAAAACCGTTTAAGCTGAAGGGCATCCATCCAGTCCTGTATTAAGATTAAAGAAAATGTAGCTGCTTTAATTTACTTTTCTCTACAAATAGTATCTGCTGAATTTGCTTGAAGATTTGGAATTCTTGTGGCCCTGACGCCTTTTGTGAATTGTTCTTGGCTGTACTCCTATTCTGGAGTTGAGGGTATCTCACCTGACACTCGTGGCTCCCTGTTTGTTTCCCAGGAGCATGTTTGTTCCCTCCCCAAGGTGCCTTTCCGTGGGGCTCCCTGCAGTGATGCTGCGGGGAGCCAGGTGCCCTACGCAGCCATCATGAAGCAGGTGAACAGTTCTCTCTCAGGGCTGCTGTGGGATCAGGTGCAGAAGGCTCCATTTTATGAGTACAAGGTAAGTCTTTTTCTCTTTTTCCAAGCCACTGAGGTGTGGAGTAAACATTCATGAACCACAGATCTTTGACTATAAAGTTATTTGGGTTAGATTCTTCCTTTTATGTTTTCTACGTTTTGTTTTGTTTTGGTTGGTTTTTTATTTTTTTTGTACGGTAAAGAATCGCTGAAAAGCTGTGTCTTGAATTCCTAGTCTGAGAGAGGAATGCAGTGCCTGAAGATTACAGGAGTAGTAAAAATCTTTATTACTTTCCAGTCTTCTTGAGTTACTGCATTGGACATAACTCCAATACTGCATGATGGCAAAAAGGACATTTTGGCACAAAGACATCCTATAGCTCCATCCTTCACTATTATTGTTACTTTCATGAGTTGATAAATGATTTAAACTAAAAATGATTCTGAGATGCTCTTAATTTTGTCCAGCTTGATGCCTTGCATGCATGTTCTCTTCTGCATTTGTTTTCTACATGGACACAGTGAAAGAGTCCATAAATGACTGTGCTTACAAGAACACTACAGTGTGTCCATTTTGTCTTGTTTCTTTAAACATTATTTAAGTTTCACATGTTGGTGATAAAAAGATGTTGTAAGCAATGACCAGGTAAAAGCAGCGTGATCTTGATAAAATTTTATAACCTCCTCTAAAACTGCTTATTGCTTAAAAAACCCACAATCTCAAACTAAATTCACCTGTTATCTTAGATACTGTATCTGAAATTTTAGCTGTATTTTTAAAAAATATTAAAAAACAAATTAGATAAGCCTTTTTATCTAGATAGATTCGGTTAAATTGTGTCACTGTTTTATAACTAATATTCTACAATTTAAAAAAATCCAAATATTTGGCTTAGAATTTTTAATTGTCCCATATGACAAAGAATTGATAAATCAGGAAAATATTATATAAATCTCTGTAGCTTGTGTATCTCAGTTTTTAGTTGTACTTTTAACGGTGTTTACTGTTCAAAAGAAAATGTGATCACTGAGACTGGTATTTAAATGTTTTTCTAGGATTCTGTTGGTCAGTTCCACCAGGTATGGTTTGATGACCCTCACAGCATCTCTCTAAAAGCAGCATATGTGAAGAGTCGAGGCTTAAGGGGCATTGGCATGTGGAATGGAAATAGTCTTGACTATTCCAGGGAAGCTGCAGCAGAACAACAAACTCAAGCAATGTGGCAAGCTCTGACACCATAAGAACTGTATAAACCCTTGATTTAGAATGATGAAAATTGGTAATTTTTTATTTTGGCTTACACTATCACAGATTTTGACTTTATATAAATATATTGTGATTAAAAAACTTTAGGCAAATCAATCTTGTTATTTTATATGCAAAGCTGTATTTTCATTCTTCAGAAAGTTCCATTGTTGCTTTGGAACAACAATCCTTGTATCAGTAGGTTTTTTTAAGACTGCTCATATTTTTAATTTTTCACAGTTACTGTAAGTTAGTTAATGCTTGCACCCAGTGTGTATCTGGTAACAAAACCAATTGATGGATTTACAGGGGCAGTCTCATAATGATGCTTTGCTAAAGCTGCCAGGTGCAGCAAATACTTATTCCAGGTGCAGTCTCAGCCTTCTGACTTCCCAACCCAAACAATATTTTAGCTAAGTCACTCTAGAATCAGATTAAACAGAATACTGGAGAGACAGATTATTGATTATATCCAGCTTGGTTACTCTTCTAGATTAAAAAATTTTTGTGGACTGAAGAAATTACATAACATGAACTAGTTGCTGTTAAGATTTTTATCAAAGTTGTTGTTAGAAAGGAATATTCAATTAACTCCAGTTTCACTGTGCTTATGTATCACATAAATTCCTCGATTTCAAAAGCTGAAAATCTCTGACCTTAGCTTGAAGAAGAAGCATTAATATGAAGACGACTTGGGTGATGTTTCCTTCCATTTCAAACTACTTTACTTCCTGAAAATAGAATTCAGAAGCTTATTTAATAAACTGCATATCTATTTTCCCACACACCCTAAGATTTATTCAGTAGCTTGTTTTTTGTTTTTATGGGATGTTGCCTCTGAGATAACAGGAGATTATGTTTTCTTTCTAGTTCATATTTTCATAAAATCAGTTGCCTAAAGAAGTTGTATAACTTTTTAAAATACCCATAGTGATGTAAAGATTAGCTGGTGTTTACAGGATTTTTTTGTTGAATAAAATGCTGCTCTTGGTAAGGCTTGTAAACAATGTTCCCTGTCTGTGCTTTACTTGTTCTACGGCTTACAGCCCACACTGCTTGTCTGCTTCTCAGAACTGTTTCACAACCAGATTAAAGTGCAATTGAGCCCTGCTTGAGTGACTCCATTAATTTAAAAAATTATTTCATTAGGTAGATGTAGTCATTTGTGGGCTTGGTGCGATTTTTGGTTTGGTTTGGTTGGGGGGCTTGGGGTTTTTTTGTCTTTGCTTGCTGTTTTTGCTTGCTGAAGAGTTACCATAGTATGGCAGCATTACCATAATGGCTACTGAGGACAAGACTGGAAGAGTTCATCTGAAGTGTCTGCTTGATATTACAGGAGATGGAAAGCAGAAGGTGGAGCCTGCTGCTCTTACAGAAACTAAAAAATTTCCTTGACAAATCAGAATGCTTTTCACTAGAACTATAAGTCTTAAGAGAAACTCCTACATTTTATATATTACATATATATATATATACACACACACATATGTACTTCATGTATTATTACTTAAATGCTTAAATACTGTGAAATGACTATTTGCTGAACTGAGAGTCTTCTGCTACAAATATCTGACCTGCAAAATTCTGATGGCCAGCTGATTTAATTATAAAACGCTCCTTTGTGTAGCAGTCAAGAATCATGAATTGATAATATTAAACTTTAAATTTAGGTTCTGATTTTCCAGTAGCTGGTAGCCTGCTTTCATATCTTAAATAAGACACAATTCTTAAATAGAGAATGTGAGCTTCAACCCTGAATTAGGCAAAAGTGGGTGTAGTTTTAATAATTTATTCAATCCTTTAGCACTAAAATCTTTGTTAAGTCCTATCTTTAAGAAAATAAATTGGATAATGGGTGGTTTGACTCAAGACATTTCTAACTTAGTTCTTCTGAGAGCTGCATAATTTTCTTATCCCATAACTTACTTCCCATGAGTGTTTCACTTCCAGTTATAAATACAGCCTTGATAGCTTTTTAGCTGAGATTAATTTCTAGCATGTTATTCTTCTGCTCAATAAAATAACATCTGGTTTGCAAAGAGGCAAACAGCAGAGCTAGAAAAAATTCCTATGAAGAGGATTCTGATTCCTCTTTCAGAGAATTATTAATCTCAGGGCAGGCGTGATCTTGGAATTAAGGAAAGGCAGAACATGCAGGAGTGTAAATTGGACCAGGATCATCATTTTACTGGCCCAAGAGAAAGCTTGCAGGCAAGCTTTCAAACTACAGAATACACTTAATGTTTTTGTGCCTTTCCTAATAAGAGAGGGAACAAAACCAGCTAGATATGGAAAAAAGTGAGATTATCTGAGATTTTGTTTATGCTTCATAATAATACAGTAATGATACATTGGTAATTTATAGATAGATGTATTTATAATGACAAAAACATACTCCAGTAAATAGCCAAATAAAGGATTACTGTTGCTGTATTTCTACAGAAACTATATTTTAATAATGTCTAAAAAACAGAATGTGTGAGCCTGAAAAAAAGGACAGGAGGTTATAGATTTTAGGTTTATTTCTTGGTAGGTATGTAGTTAATCAAAGAACATCAGCATACCACTGGCATGTTACACAATTAACTAATTTGCACTTTAAAAATAACAGCTTAGTTTCAGACATGTTTCTAGCTTAAACTGTATGTTTAAGTAGCTGACTGATCTTACAGTGAGATTTAAAAAGAAGTGAGCTGCATTACCTCAGTAGCCTAGCATACAAATTCCACAACATTTATATAGTTAATGTCTTTTTACAAAGTTACTTCAAGAACATACAAATTAATGCTCTGAAACTCTCTTTCCCATACACTAGAGAGCTGTACATTTCACAGCTGTTACTCATGTCATCTTTTTAAATTCCTGATTTTCCGGACTGGAGAATTAAAGCTGAATGAATCTTCTTCTGGGTCAGTTCTGCTCTCAGTGCTTGTAAATCAGATGCTGCTTGCTTTCTCATCTGCAAGAAAACCCATCATTTAAGGAATGGCAATTTAGGGAAGCTTTTTATGGAGCTGACATGTATATAGGTTTATATAACTAAGACTGAATTTTATGCAGGATGGCTGAATACAGAATACATCTTTCATCTCTGAAATTTTATGTGTTCTAGCACTACTTTGTTCTGTAATTTGCCTTGATGTTTTTGAAACAACTGCAAAAATAATTGTTCTTTCCACTCCTTGCTAGACAATAGAGGAGTCATAATAATTCCAGCCACCCTGGAGTACCCAGTAAACAGGAGCATGGGCAATCTCTGTGATGTAGAACACTCCTATTTCAAGCTTTCAGAGCTGGAAAGCTGTCCAGGGTGAAGAACTTACCTTCCAAAAAGAGTCATAGGCAACACTGATATGGAATAAAGCAGAGGAAAAGTTCTGCCATCTGCTTAGACAGCCTTTTATTTTTTTTTTTCCTTTATTCCATGTTTTACCTTTAGCCACAGTCTATTTATTATTGCTCAGTGCCTCACCACACCAGGTGTATTTCTTCAATTACCTTTTGAATGAAATGGGAATTTCATGAACAAGATTGTGAACCTTAGCTTACATAGTACACTGAGTATCTAAGTTGTTTGGATGCCATACATTCCAAATCATCTGATAACCTGTGTCCTGGAGTAATTTAGCTCAAATGCTAAAGTCACAACACCTAACACCTTAATACTAACAGCATAAAACAAGAACTGTTTAGCGAATATTTACATCATCTAATAATTGAGAAATTCTCATTTTTTTCTATACGTTGCCACATTTTGACTGTAATTAAAAGGCACAGTACCTTAATTTCTATAAGGAGTCTCATTTTTGTGTCCTCTAGCTTCCTCCTCAGTTGATGGAGTTCGTGCTGCACTGTAGCAATCCGGATGATTGTGTAATTCTGTGTGAAACAACAACAAACCTCGAGGTGCAGCATTAGTGCATGTGTCCCTCACTGGGTGTTCCTTCACCACTCAGAAACAATCCTCTAACAACCTCTTTCCATCTTCCCTGCCTGCCCAGCTGGCTGCTGCCTGCCTGGCTGCACGTCGCTCTCGAGGGCTGGGGAGCATCCTTTGCTCAGCCTCACAGCTCTGCAAATCCTGGCTCCCTTCTCAGGGGGCTGCCCACTACAGAAAAGGACCAATAATGTGTCTGAGCATAGCCACAATGCAATGCCAACCCTATTCCTGTTTTTATTTCATAGATATTTCAAGACAGTTCCAATAATACATGTTTGTATATAATATATACTCTTAGATTGTGCATGCAAACACCTTTCAGATGCAAGAAAGGGACTTTTATTTTTCCTAGGCTAGCTTCAGTTTTGTTTTCAACAGCCTTGCTTCCATTAGTGCACGTAGAAAATTAGCAGACAACTGTTGGAAAGGGTGTTTCCTCCTTTTCTTTTATCTTTTCTCTTTTTAATCCCTCTGAACTTCCTGTGAAACTCACAGTTGCACAATAGTTGAAGTGCAACCACTTCAAAAGCTACAGATATGTTTTCTGTGCTCCAAACATTCACTGCCTCCTTGTATGAAATCTTGGATGATAGAAACAAAGTAGAACTGAACAATCCATTAACTACACTGAACAGAAGGGGATTTTGTTACAAAAAGGTACCAACAGAAAGCAGAAAGAAACAAATGCTCAAACTCAAGCACTTCTGCAGTCTTTTGAAGACAAATGGCCTGAAGGAACTCTGTCCCTCAGATCATTGAGCTAAAGCTAGTTTACAAATTATTGGTTGGTGACAAATCTGTTACTTTAATTTATGTTTTATACAAAAAACCTTCAGACTGTGAAAAAAGAGATAATAAATAATACAAGCAAATACCTTGGAGGTTGTTGTTTTGTTTGGTCGTTTTTGGCTATTTCTGGCTTCCAGTTGCAAGAGCAATTTCTGGTGGTAAAGCTCTAAATCTTGTTGCAGTTTGTTTAAAGTGTCCTCCAGTGAAACTGTAGCTTTCTTGGTTTCAAAGTATTTCTTCTTCCATTCCTCACGCACTGCACAGGAGAACAGTAACAGGGTTTGGTCTTGTTCACCTTATCATAAGGTCTGCTGAAGGCAGTCATGACAGCTCACCCCACAAGCTTCAGCTGGCCAATGCACATACTGAAACATGGCAGAAGGTTTCTTTAAAATAAACATGTAGCGAAAAAAATCTTCATTCAAGTTACATTCTCTCTAAATGCAACTGAATTTTCACATAAACCTGCAACAAAGGGCTCTATCTGTCCACTGAGATAAAACACAGGGTCCAAACCCAAAGTTTATTCAGCCTGGCTGCTCTGCAGCACCTAGGTGCTCCTGTGAAGAGTGGTATGCCCAGCAGAGTCTGAATTCCACAGCTCTACTGTACCAGAAAATGTAGCATTGTAGATTTAAGCAAAATTTATGCTCTTCATGGCCAGAGATTTGGAACAGCTTCAATTTGACATCCCAAATTATAGGGAACAGTTAGTTACCTTTACACTTCACTATGATTCCCCCTGTGTTGTCAGTGTGCTATCAAGAGGTAGCACATAAATGCCCCTGTATTTATGCCCCAGTCTTATGGCCACTGCAAATCTGCAGTGTCTTAAATGAATTCCTTCTTTCAAGGCATAGTTTGTGGGAGCAGGACAACAGAAACTCACCCAAAAGAGCTCAACTGTTGGAGGATGACTCTGTGCCAGGTAACTGAGAGTGCCTGTCAGCATGGCACTCCTAGGAGGATATTAAATACAGACTTGGATGGCTGTTATCTTTCCTTAATACCTTGTAAAGAAGCATGCTTGCTATGTGCCCTTACTTACAAAACTCTTCAGGTCTGATAAAAAAAAAAATCAGAGGTACAGATGCTTGTTGCACAACCTGCAGAAGCTGTTTGAATCCTTGTGAAATAATCTTTGTTTTACCTAACTGGATAACATAATTTAAGGCAATGCAGGTGCCATTTAGGGCTTATCTCTACCTTGAATTGCAGCTCAATGCTACTACAGAGTTACTGCTTCACACACCCAAGTTTGGGGTTTTTAAATACAAATTCCCCAGGCTGTGCAGCCATGTCCTTAGAGAATAACTGAAAGAATGATCTCTCCTTTCAATGAACTACAAGTAATATTTGAGACTAGTAATGACTTAGTGACATTTAAGCACGAAGAGAAAGCTCTCAAAACATCAAAATTATTAAATCTCATTTCTGTATAACTGGGATGTGACTTAGGGAAGATGGTTTTAAGTATAAACTTGAAAATAATTTTATGAAGAAAATTTGTGTGAAATTTCAATGAGATTTGACCTTGTTAAAAACCAAAGTTTGTCCAGCTTGTCACAACAGGCTTGGAACTTCCATGTCATAAGCTGAATACCATTGGATAGGAGGAACAAAAATTATTATGCTGCAATTTACCTGAAGCCCTATCAACACAGTACAAGCCTCTTGTAAGCTAAAGGCAGGATTAGAAAATGCCAGGCTGCCCTGGGCCTCAGAGAAAAGCCTGCAGTAGCTCTCTGAGCACTGCACATACATGAGACACAATTTGAATAGTTTAGGAAAGGCAGAACAACCTTAACTTTATAAGACATGCCACAAAGAAAAAAAAAGTGTAAGGAAACATTGCAACCTTGAATACTTCTAGCATGCTATTACACAACATGAGTCTTCTTGGAGCTATTGGTTAGCAGACTGATCTCTCTGTAATTAAGCTCACTGACAAGGAGACAAATATTTTCACATTGGTTCCACAGTAATTTCTCAATCAATCCAAATTCCAAAATAAATTAGAAGTGTACCATGGTATCTCCTCAGCTTATTTTGTTCCAGTAGCCCTTTAGCTTTTTTTCTCAGCTCTTCTCTAGTTTTTTCCATGTGCCTTCTGTCTTCCTTCATTTGTTGCAATTGTTCTGCCATCCTGTTTTCTAAAGATATTACAATTATATTTAGCAAGCATTTGAATATTCTAAGTACAAAGGATCAGTGAAGACTTTTGTAATGCACTCATCACAAATAATGCCAAAAGCTCTGTCAGAGCAAGCAGTGGAAACAATTTCATTTTAATCAGGTTTCATTTTAATCTAACTTTTCAGAATGGCTGGTGCTTTAGAAAAAGATGGAAATCCAGCATGCATCCAGGCATGCACACACACATGCAAACAAACATATTTCTGTATGTTTAGACAATGTATCACTAAAACTATGTAAGCAAGAAATATATTCACTCCATACATTGCAAACTCTTCTCAATGAAGCCTAAAAAGCCTCCAAAAGACTATTTCCTGCTTAAAATACATTGCAATAGAAACTGTAGAGAAATCTTGCCCGAAACTCCAGCTTGCAGGACAATATCTGAGACTGTCACTAGTCTGCAACAATAGGTCTAACACTTAACTTCTCAGTATCCTCCCCCTCAGCAACACTACTTGTGGTTTTCTTAGCTGCATTCTCACTTGAGCCTGCAGCATTTAATCTGATCTCCCTCCTTTTCTCCTTCCATCCACTTGACAAGTTGGGTTTTCTAGTGCTGGGAACCTGCAAAGCTCTAGGACAGCCCGTGCAATCATAAATACCTGGAATTTTCTATTAAAAATTAAAATTTGTAACAATACTGTGAATAGTGCAGGTATTTATGTCTTCATTGAGTCTTCAGTCTTGATTAAAAGTTCACTTCCTTGCAATTTCTTGGAATCATGTACTCACTTGCTGCCTGAATTACAGGAACTTGAGCTGGATTTACAGTAAATGCCAAAAAAGGTGAACTAGGAGCTGAAATACACTCTTTTGGACAAGTAAGATGATTTTGCTTGTTTTCATCTGCCTATAGAGTCAAAAGACACAACTGTAAGTACATAACCATAATCCTGAATAGTTACATTAGACACATGCCCTGAAAGTGGCCTGAGTGAAGGAGAGGGCTGAATTAGACTTCAGGCAGGATTTTTTAGTCTGTTACCAATACCCATGACCACTAAATTACAAACAGCTGGATCTCTGCAAACAAAATGAGAACACTGAACTTTTCCATCACAGAGAACACACAGACAAAACTACAGACTATTGCTACTGGTTCTTGTCCATGCCCATAACCCCCAAGTTACTGATAGTCCCATGCAAGACCAGGAGCTAAGGGCCTTAAAATGGCCACCTGGTTTGTTATTTATGAAATCAAAACCTGCCAATTTCTAAATTAAAATTTGTAATTGTAGATTTTAATTGTTTAGAAATATAGTTGATATTCATTAGAAAATCTAAGCTAAGTAGCACAGCATGAATAAACTTTTCTCAATTATTCTCAAATCTTTCATATTTATAATGAGTCACCAGTCGTACAAAATGAGACTGTTTCTAGGTGGAGGACTATATTTATTGCTCAAGATTACTAGGAATGTTACTTTGAAAAACATACCTGATTATCCAGTTTTTCACCAAGAACAACTCTAGTCTTCTTAGTTCTGTTTTGCTGCAAGCTAAGATAAAATCAAAAAAACAAGCAAAAGTTCATTGACCAAAATGTTTTTCCCCTCCTTCTCTTCCATTTATTTGAAGTCTATAAAGTAAGTTTGTATTGGTGAATTAATATTATCCATTATTTTAGGAGATGTATTATTTGCTAACCTTTGTTTTTTGTGGACATAATCTGTAGTTTGGTCTTCCCCTATTTTAAGAATTTCAGCATCCTGTGTTCTGTCTCTTCTTAATTTGGTATCTTTTTGGTGCTCATTATTTTCCATGTTTGCTAGCTCTGTGACAGGATAGTGATGACAAAAATACATAGATTACACTTGCAAAAATGAGGCTGGTTTGACTGTCAATGAGTGGGCTTTCTAACCTGTATTGGAAGTTCAGTGAATCAACGCAGCAAGTGGTGTTATCTCTAGGATTTGGAAATGCTCCATAAACAACAGAAGAAAGAAATCAAGGGGGGAAAAAGGTATTTTTGTAATTAGAATTTATATCTGACTAATTCTGGTGATTAGACAAATGTATCAACTACAGTAAAGTGTTTCTCTATACCAGCACACATTGCTAATGAAGGACTCAAAGGTAAAAACACATCTCTTTGGAAGATATCATTATTTTTAAAAAATGGAATATTGCTCTCATAGTGCTACTCCAACTTACACTTTAATTACAGATTTCTTAAAACTTAGCTTTACTTTGCTTTAGCACAAAGACAATAACAAACATGTGTACCCTTTTGATATTTAATGTGAATTTGGGGTCTTTGGTTACCCTGGCCTTGTTCATCACTGTGGTTTACATGAGTAAGAGCAGTTCCTTTGGCTTTGTCATTCCACCTAGGAGCACTGCAGTCTTCTTCATTTTGGCTGAGATGATTCTGCTCAGAGGTCTGCAATACCAGGTCCCACTTTCCACACTCCTGGTCTGCAGGATTGGAATGACTTGGTGTGAAGAGAGATCCATCAAAACTACTTTGATCTGTATAATAATTGATAATATGACAGAGATATTATTTTACTGTAAATGTTAACCACAATATTTATTTTTCTTCTCATTCATCACCCTCCTTCACCACACTGGTTAAGCTTACCTTTTTCTTCAAACTGTTTTTCTGGAATCCTGTTGTTATTGTCTTGCTTATTGTTTGTGTGTGAAACTGGAACAGGCTCTTTCTCACCCCATTCCACAGGACTGGGCACTTCCACATTTTCTACCTGATGCCTGCTTTGTATACTTTCTAAAAATGGTTTGCCTTTTTCAGGTTTCTGTTGGGAAAGGCTGGATAATCTTGATCCATGACCAAACCTATTATTGGCTTCTTCACTAATGTGGTGTTTTTGTTGAGGTGATGATAGCAATGGATAAACATCTTCAAAATAATCCACTCCAGGTAATAAATATAATTCAGGATAAAGTGCCTGAAATTACAGATTATATCCATCAGACACAAAGAAAATGTGCAATGTAAAGTTTCTGAAAATGGTACCTTACAAGCCATTCAGTACTTACATAAGGAGGAGCAAATGACTTCAGTTCCAGTTCTGTTTCCTGCTTTGCTTTCACCTCAGAAGATAAAGTATGGAAACATAACAAATAAAATACTTTTTTCATCAATGGTGTTGCATGTGACACATGCATTCTATTGTCATTTTTACACATTGCATTCTTTTATAACCATCACTATAATCTGTAGTGGCTTTATGGGGTAAAAGTATCTCAGAGTACATTTGTATTTTCAGACAGAGTTCTGAAACTTTGTCTATTTTTCAAAATCTTAATCAGACCCACAAGATTACATGCACAGACTGAATGGTTTTTTATCCTTTACACGTGATCCAACAGTCCCAGGAAAAGAAAATCTGCAACTTTCTTTATCAAAAGTTGCTTCAAGCTGAATCTGGACAGAAATTCTGAGTCTCACATAATTTTCTCTATTTCCCTAATACAGTAATGCAAAATATGGAATGTATATGGAAAAAAAGTCAAATATTATCCTATGTCTTCTTGTATTTATCATTTTCCTTCATATTCTTTTTGTGACAGACACTTTCACATTTAAATAGTTGTCCTGAAAACAAAGTCTAAAATAGTCAATATATATTTGAAAGATGTACTCCAATGTAAGGAAAAGAAATCTGAACTTACATTCAAATCACTATATTGAATTAAACACAAAGGTTGTATATAAAAAAGGAAGAGCAAATGAACATGATTTTAGTTTATGTTTATCTTTTCATTTAAGAGACCCCTGCTTGCAAGTAGGGCACAGCTCTTAGTTCTGCTTACATTGTTAGAGTTGTGAAACAGAAGACTAAGGGGAGAGAACAAATATTTGATCATGGAGATGTAATTCAATGAGGTTACCATGACCCTAAACAACAAATAAAGCAGTTGGTTCATTGCTTTACACTTTGCTATAAAGTTAAACATCAAGCAACAGTAAATATCTCAAAGAAAAACTGTATATTTCATTTGTCTCTATAAATCCTCATGTACGTTACCAGTACCTTTAATTCTCTATTAACATAAAATATTTTATTCATTTGCTGACATTATAAAGGCTGGAAAATTTCTCCATTTATCTCTGATGGGGATTTCTCCATTTATCTTATGTGGGGATGAAAATGAATCATCTTACTTATTGTCATCCAGTTAAAATGACCTCAATTCACTGAAACATATGAATACTTTCCAATTTAGATTGTATCACACTCTTTTAAATTTCTTTTCATGTATTTTCACCTAGTTTTTGCATATCACTTAGTATTTATTCTAGTCTCTGTGAGAGTGATTTTAGTGACAACTCAACTAGAAATAAAATAAAGAATGGCACCGAATTTCCTGCTCGTAGTTAGTTTCCAAATTCATGAGAAAGAGGTGAAATGAGACATGGAAAAAGTATTCTATACTTACATAAATGACTTGTATCTTTGTGTGTTACATGAACAAACTTTCAGTTGGACTAATTTTGAAGTTGATTTAATTTTTAGCTATACTTTGTAAGATATATATGTAGAATTGATGGAGGAACAGTTATGATTCACACATGTAGAGGTTTCATTACTGACATCTCAGGCTGTATTATTGGACTAAACAGTGGAACTTCCAGAGAAGCTTTCATTCAGAGAATGTCTTAAATGCTTTTGGGTAGGTCCCAGCAGGAGCCATTAGAGGAACTCTGACTGAGCTTCCATTGCACTTTGTCAACTGAATAATCCCCAACCTTGTACAGGTAGTAATGGCCTTATGGGTTTGGGTTTTTTTAATGCAACCAGATTTGTCATATTTAATCCATGGACTTACCAAAACCATTATATTTTCACTGGATGGTGACTAATTACACCTGTTGCTTTAAAGGTAGTTGTAATACAACTGGCCAGCTTTGCACTTGGGGAAGCAGATATGCTCTGACAAGAGCATAGGCTGCAGCATGTTTAAAAGAAATGCTAACAGTGCCCCTAAAGTTATCTCTACTTTATGTGATATTATTTCATCTGCAGGAATGAAATCTCTGCTTTACATTATATAACAGAAAAGCATTAAAGAAAAAGAAATAACTTACCACTGCTAGTTTTTTCCCAATGCATTTTAAAAACCTGAATTTATCTGTGACTGTCACTCCACTCAGGTACTCTCCAAGCCTCTCCCGCAGCACTCTTAATGTGATGTGAGGAGACACCCTAGAATGTTGTCATTCATTAATATATCTGTAAGACCAAATAATGATGGCTAGTTAGTAGGAGGGGGAAGATAATGGTCTGTATGAGCTGGCTTGCACAGCCAGAATGACCCAAACTGGGAGCTGTGTCCTAAAACTGAAGCCAGTTACAGACAGGCCAGAGGGTTTTGGGGTGGCACTCAGAACACTGCACTCTAAGGGCTGTCCTAACATCAACCAGCAAGACTCACCTTGTACACACAAAGGGAACACATGGAAGCAGACAAAATATGAAATTTACTTCAGAATGCTGTTGCTCATCTGCAGATGAATAACAACACCACTGGAAGCTACAGTCATGCACTTCCATATAAGTGACACAGTTTCATGGGCTGGACCAGGACTGTTGAACATTCCCTTCAAGCATCCAGGACCAGAGGAGCCTTCAGCACTGTCCACTTTAAGCAGCAGGCACATTCCTTTGCTTTTTTCTTTTCCAGCACAAATCTACAGTTAGGTGTGTGCATGTGTGCATGCAAATGTATTTTAAATAAAAACCAAACACTGCAGTGTGAACATTTCCACCATGATTTGAGGATGAGAATGTGGACACAAATATGAATTACATCATTTAATGTACTACTTGAAAGTATGCAAATATTTAGGTAATGAGCTCAGTAGAAAGATCACTACAGAATAAATAGCATCTCTGCACAATAAATCCAAATGTGCCAGAGGCATACCAAAGCACTGCAGCACAGCACAAGCAATTCTAATTGTTCTAAGCTGCCATATAAGAAACCAGGGAACAAATGCAGGCCTGAGACTGTTAATGACCCACTCTGATTAAGTGGCAGGATGATTTTGGCCCAGGCAGCTCTGACTCCTCAAGCAATGCACAGACACAGCTTGGGGGATTGCACATGCCATTCTCAGCAAAGAGCACAGACAAGAACCTGCCAGGTCTTCCATTTGAACAGGTCTTCAACATTACCCTGTCAAGGTTTGTTTGCACTTGCAAGCAGCCCTTTAGGCCTTCAGCTCACAGCTCAAGCACGTAGTAAAAACACTGCCATTTTCATCTCATGAACACAATGCTTGCCTTGTATTATTTCAAATACCCTGGACTTAGAGGACTCTCCTCAAGATCATAAACAGTCTGCAGAGTGGACACATCTACAATTTATAATGGGGGAAAAGTATCTAGGTATCCAGATCCTGAGATACAGGGCAGAAATTTAGCTCAAAATTGTTTGCCAGTGCAGCTGCTAGGAAAATGCAATAATATTAGTCTGTCACTTGCTGCCACTGGCTGGCAGAAAACAGTCACATACAAGTCACTTGCTTCAGGGTGTCCCTTTAAAAGCAATGCAAACTAGAGCTCATTGCAGACATCTCATCCAGAAAAAATAAAAGTTTGGCTTCTGTGGTGAGGAATGAGGAATGGGAAAAAAAGCTCAAACAGTCTAAGAAATCAAGTTCACGGGAACAAGAACTCAGGGCCATAGAAAATTACACCCTTAACATCTTCCTCTAATTTCACAGCTAATGGAAGTGGCCTGTACTTTGACCCAGGAATCCTTTGGAAAGCTGACTCAGACAGCACTGGCATTGTCAAGCTGACTGAACAACAGAGCTATCAACAGGTCCAAGTCACAGGAGTACCAGTCATTCCCTCTCCTGGATTATAATAAAAGAAGTTTTTAAAAATATTTTTTGTTTTTAAAGACAGTGATTCACTGGCCAGGTATGAGTTATGTTAATGCTAATATCCTTTATCATCCCATAGTACCCCCAGAAGAATTAATTAACAATTATCTAAGAGTTACTAGCAAGCAACACTATCCAGGTAGATACAAACCCACTGAAATCAGTGAGGATCCTAATTTAATTTCATGCCTCAGTGAAATAAATTTACACTAGAAAATATAGGGCAGTGGCAGATGTCCATGACATGAAACGAAGTTACCACTTCACACCTGTATTCTGCACCTCTGCTGCAGACTAGAACAGCAAACAAAATGAGTTTATGCTCTTATTTTCTCTGGTTTTGAGCAGCCTTTCAACAAAAGCAGCTGTGAGAATGAATGCATTCTGCCCTACATGGTCCTACCTGATTGTTGTCAGTCTTTTCAGCTACACTGTATGTTCTCTCAAGTGGACAATACAAGACTCAATTTAAACTAATTAAAACCTCTATTCCCTGCACTTTTAGCTGAATTGACAGGTTTTGCACAGATGTAGACAAGGTGTATGTAAAATCTCAGTTTCAATACACTTCTTTACATTATTTGAGTTTTCTACAACTTCTCACCACACTAGATACTGAATTTTGTGAGCAAAGCGTTTTAGGAGTATTAAAAAAAATTCAAAGTTTTGACAGATGAAAAATACAACTCCTTGTGCCAGGTTTGAGCCTAGGACTGGGAACCAGGGTATTCTTTCACTAAGTCCTTTAAACAGCTACCTGAGAGCACACACAGTGCACAGTGTTGTGCACAGCCTTTCACTTTCTTCTTTCAAGAAGAAAGAGGAAATGCTGCTGGTTCATGGGCTGTAAGGCTTTCCCTTGAGAAACAAGGCTTCAGCTCTTTCTCTGGACTGAGAGAGCTCAGACCACCCTACCCCTGTTCCTGGGAACTGACAGGCTATCCAATCTTCATCATGCCATTTTCTTGAGGCTGGCCCATTGCCCAGAAGTATTCCAGCTTTTGATAATCAAACTCAAGGAGACAGAAAGAATGTAAGATATGATTTTACAATAAAAATCTTTCTACAGAAATACTAGCACTGCTCTGGAAGTGCTTTTCAGTGTCTACACCATGCCTGACACAGTACAAATTAACATAATGCTGGTTATGGTCACCACTTACACTCCAGACTTTTCATTAGACAACAAGTTTCTGCTGCAGATGTAATTGTGCTCTCTAGAGCAACAGTTGGACTAAAAGTTGGACTGAAGGACAGTGTGAAGGACCTACCATGTACATGAACCACAAAACCACACTCACCTTATAAATCCAGCTGAGACAAATTTGCTAGTAAGAGCTACAGGAACTGTATTCAGCTTGAAGTTCCACACTTCTGCTGGGACATAAAAAACATGAAGTTCCAACAGCTAGAAAAAAGAACAGATGTAAATGTATTACCATCCTCTTCCTATACACTTTGGTTTTTTTAGGTGGACTTCCAATTTGTGTAGCAGGAATGGTTCCTTTGGTATTAGCACAGGGACTAGAACAGTGAGGCCCTGTCTCACAGTGATGACTAGATTGTGACAACAGTGACAGCAGAGCAATTTGTGACTGAGTGCCAGCTGAAACAAGTCACATTAGAACAAGCTCCCCAATGCAAGTGAGATAATGAAGAGCCTGTGCTACTGCTGTGTATCACTGTGACAGCAATGGAGAGATCTTACCAAAACCAGTTGATACTCTGGAGAGTGTCATGACTACAAGAATCCCACAGCTGAAATCCTACCTTTGTTCATCTCATAAAAAATGCAAAGCCCTGAAAGCTTGATTCAAATAGCACCACAGCTTGACTGTGTAATCAAGAAAAAAAAATTCAAAATATTTCTGACTGTTTTAAATAATATTAGCTACCTTGGAAACACAAAAATATTCCTGCTAATGTCTGCAAAAAGAATAACTAAGCTGGCTGTGAGCAAGGTTCACTTGGGCTGTGTTGAGACCTGTGGCAGTTGTTGCACTGCTAATTTCCAGCTCTTGATATTTTTAGTAAAACTCAGATAGTATTGATAAGGGTGATACACTTCCCTTCAACTAAAAACCATGCAAATAATCTATATTAAATACTTCTGCAAGTGTTGAGTTACTTAATATGAACTAGAAAATAATTCTTTCTACATATACTATTTTAAAAGCAGGTATTCTAGAACCTTATTTTAATGTATTCTTATTTTTTGTTTGTGAAATCTAAAAAATCTGTGTGGAAAAGCACAAAATCTCTCACCTGTGAAGTTCGAGGTCTCATTTGATTCAATGACATGTTGGTCCCTCTGTGTGACCACAGCAAATGCCAGGAGGCTTTCTAATTTTCTTTTTGATTGAAGCATTCTTTAAGAATGAGTTTCATGATAATCTGTTGTGACAGAAGTTACTTCATAAATATCCTTTTTTCACTTACTGATCTTCATTCCACTTAAGAAAACGGAAGTTGTGCCTGTGCTGAGGCAGAAAGCTTCTAGCTAACTGCAAACAGAACCAACCACACCTTCTACACAAGTGAGTGTCACCTAAGTAACGGGGGGAATTGCTAAATCATAGCCCTGAGCCTCTGAGATCTGCCCTAGAGCATTTCCTCTTAACATTTCCTCCCCTTTCATAAAAATATGAATTTGGTAGTACACAATTTTCTACACAATTCCACTGTTTTCCTAAAGACAGAGACCTAAAACCCCACAAAACAAGATTCTTGCAGGACCTGTATCTGATAAAGTGATGATTATTGTGAACTGCAGCAAACACATTGTGCCAGCCAAATGCAGTGTTCTGAGGAAATGTGACTGTGCTGGGCAACCATGGCAGAAAAATACTTCCATAAATTATAACCGTGGTTCTGTCCTAACATGTTATAGAATCAGGGAACAGTTTGGGTTGGAGGGGACCTTTGAGGGTCAGCTAGTCCAAGCCCTGCAGTGAGCAGGGACATCTCCCACTGGGCCAGGTTGCCCAGACCTCCACATCCAATCTTGAATGTTTCCAAGGGTGGGGCATCTCCCACCTCTCTGGTTAATCTGTTCCAAGCTTTTACCACTTTTAGTGTAAAAAACTTCTTCCTTTCACCTCTCATCAACCCTCTCTTAGTTTAAACTCATTCACGTGGTCCTATTGCAACAGGCCCTGCTAAAATGCTCGTTTCCATCTTTTTCTTTTTGTTAGGAGTTTCCTTGGTGTTCTCTTTGAAGGCTCTTCCAGCCCCTCTGAGGTTACAAACCTCCTCTGGATTTTCACCTACTGAACTCAGGCGCTGTTCTCCTGCTCTCAACAGGAGATCTCTCCACTCCTCCTGCCTCTACCCCAGCTACTTCTAATTCACCTGCTTTTGAGCACGAGTGACCAGACCTTCCAAGTCTCACCCTGGTGCTGTGGAATTAAGATTTCCTCATGTCAATGGGAAATACCTGCTTAACAGGGTCAGTGTCCTTACTTGCAAGCTCCCTCAAATGGCCCGGGTGCGACACCCATCAGTGCCCCGGTCACTGCCCGCCACAGGCAGGCACAGCACGGGCTGCTGCCATTGCTCCCGCCGACAGGGAAGATGCTGCTGTACCTGATGTCACCCCGCGCCCCGCTTCACTGCCGCTCCCGGGCACTTCCTGCAATGAACAGGACTAGAAAACTGATCCTCCAGGCTACAGTCAACACTCAAACTGCTAGCACGAACTAAGTTAGGAACTTCATCCATTTTATCTCAAAATGGCCCCCAGATTGGAACCCAGTGGGTATTACCACCAAGACTCGCCGCCTCGGTGCGAGAGCAGCGCCCCGGCAGTCCCCATGATGAGTGTGTGAGGGCGGGCCCGTCCGGCACACGGCCCGGCCCCAGCTGCGCAGGCGCCGCGCTCCGGGCACTTGTGGCCGCGCCGGGAAGTTGTGCTGGGAGTGCTGCGAGTGCCGAGCCGAGCCCGCCGCCGATCCCGCCATGTCGGGCTCCTCCAACGTGGCGGCCATGAAGAAGGTGGTGCAGCAGCTGCGCCTGGAGGCCAGCGTGACCCGCGTGAAGGTGAGCGCGGAGCCGCGACGGGACGGGACGGGGCGGACGCGCCGCCATTTCACCGCCCCGGGGCCGCGCCCGCCGCGCCGAGGCCGGGCCGGGGCCGGGGGCTCCCACCTGCCCCGCCCCACGGACCCGGCTGGGCGGCGGCCACCGCGCTTCTCCCGGGGCTCCGTCGGGGTTCCCCGGCCGAGGCGAGCCCGGATTGGCAGCGCAGCCGCGTCCGCTCCGCCGCCACCCCTGGCCGGGGCTCGGGCGCTCGCTCCCCGCCGCCCCTCGGGGCCGCTCCCGGCCGAAGCGCTCCCCGGGGCGATGGACGCGGCCCGGCCGTGCCCTCGGAGCGAGGAGCGCCCTTCCCTCGGGCTCTGCGGGGAGCCCGCCCGGGCGGGGCGCACAACGGGCTGGGCTGGCCCGGCACGGCAAGATGGAGATGTCGCTGCCAGGCACACCGAGTGCATTGAACTCGTGCCGCGCCGGGGCCAGACCGCGCCTGGCACGGCAGAGAAACCGGGCAAACTGCAGATACCTACCGAGTGTCAGCGGAAGATGCAACTTTTTGCAACTTCGATCGCTCTATTGTATGAGTTCAGAGTTACAGCAAAGAAAAGCAAGAGAAAGATTTTTTTTCACTGATCGCTTATTAGCAAGGCACAGCATGCCAAAAACCCCTTATAAGAGTGCTCAGAACCCCATTATCTCATCATAAGGATTTCAGGATTTTCAGGCTTTCCAAGGGAGCCTGAAATGCGAGTTCAGTGAAGTAGAACATGTTAAACATAGACAGTATTTTTGAATTGCTTATGCCAGAACAAGGATCTTCATATATTTAATAAAGTCATCTCTAAGATCTTGCTCATCTGTCACCCTTCATACTTAAAAGTTTACTATGGAAATTAAAACTTCCAAATCAGTTCTCATTCTTACATTGTTCATCTTCTTGTCTTTAAGAAACAAAAAAACTACAATGAAATGATTGCATAAAATCTACATAAACTGTATTGCAGAATAATTTAGTAGTATTCTTTGTACTTTTCAACGTAAAAAACACATCCTCAGTAAAGAGTGTTCAGTGAATTCTAATGCCAGCTTTTATTATAACTAGGTTTCTCAAGCTGCAGCTGACTTGAAGCAATTCTGCCTGCAGAATGCACAACACGATCCCCTACTGACGGGAGTATCATCAAGTACAAATCCATTCAGACCCCAGAAAGTTTGTTCCTTTTTGTAATTATGTGAACTACTTCAGTATCTTTCAGTGGTAAGTTCTTGAATTACAATTCATAAACTCTTTTGTCATTTAAATGAGACAGGCTCTATGAAAGGCACTCAGAAACATCTGACTTGTGCAGCTGGTGTTGGTCTAGATCCCATTTTTGGTCCCTTTTCCCTTTTTCTGGTCACAGTTCTGTACTGGACACGTGCTGGCCATTGGTATTGTGAGCAGCACTTTGCTAGTGCAGCTTCCACCAGTTTGTGTAGCAGAATGGTGGAACCAGCTACTACTGAGCTGCTCTTTGGACTAACCCAGCTGAACAGTAATTGTGCTGTATCTTCCTCTCTATAAGGGTATTATTTCCCTTTTCTCACTTAGAATTAATGTGGTGAATCCTAATTGTGGCAGATAAAACAGACTTCAGTTCTTAAACTTCTAATGAACAGTTCCAGAAACAGATTAGTGGTGGTGGTCCCCAAGAAGAGCACTGACCACTGTGGGGAGGAGATGCCCTCTCTGCCAAAAGAAAAAAATATATACTTTTTAAGAAGTATTTACTTTTAAAAGCCCACATGCCACTCAAGTAAGCTACTACAGGGGTAGCAGTTTAAATAACTAGAAACAGTGGAACACTCATGTGGATTTTCATTCCAGAGCTTTCATAGGCTCATTAGCACTGCTGCTATCACCAGGAAGACTACTCACTCACCTGCCATTTTGGTGACTAGATTTTAGGCTAACCTCTTTAGCAAGGTGGGTTTTAGATGCACAAGTTTCACCAAAATTCAGAGTCCAAATAACTTGGTTATTTTGACCACAGTAAATGCATGATGATTTTACCATGTTCCCTCTTCCTGTTGCCCCTTGATGTGGATCTGTTGGAGATGAGAGCACAGACGTTATTTCAAAGCACCTGATACACAGTTAAGCAAAGTTCACAATCCTTACATATCTCATAGTGAGTCTTAACCTTGAAAAATTCTGGTTGTGTAGCTGACTTCTATCATCCAAAGAACTGTAGTTTGCTAGATTTAAATTGTGCTGTTAGGCAGCTTTATAGAAGGGTGACCACAGTCAGATTGGATTGATAAAATTATTCTCCCCTCAAGCAGACTGTGGAAAAGTTGCAGATGTGTGTACTAGCAGAATAACCACGTTTAAAGGCTAGAATAGTAACAATATAGAAGTTGATCCCTAACTATATAACAAGCAAAACCACAGCCCACATTGTTTTGAGCAGTGAATTACAACAGTATAACTGAAATGTGCTTTAGAGTTCTTGTAGCTTTTACAATTATTTCTGTTGTGAATTTTTGCCAATTACTGCTATTTAAAAAAAAACCTCTCGGACGCTACCCTAGTGTAGCTTTAGCTGTAAGCACTAATCCAAGGAAGACATCAGATCATCTGTAAGCATTATAGACTGAAAACATACACAAAGCCAAATAAACTCTAATCCATGACAGGTACAATTCCCCACCGAGGTTTGCCAAGGTTAAGAAATTCCTGGATGTGGATGTAGGGAAACAAAGTTTCCTCTGTCTCACACCACACCTGCACACACAGGGCATAGAAGGCTTAATATCTTCTTTCTCTGCTACAGCCTTTGGAATGGAACTAATTTCTGGTTTAGTTACACTACCTCTATGTGAAACTCCTTCACTTTGCAGTATCTGTTGCAGGCACTTCCTGAAAAGAGGTGATTCTTTGTGTTTTCTTGATGAGCCAGTAGTCTTTGTGTTTGCACAGTCAGCACCACCTCACTGAGGAGGAAGTGTAATTTGTTAGTTACACAACAAATTCCCTGCTTTTCAAAGACAAAGTAGAAACCTGGTGTTTTGGTGAGCAGAAAGTGACTGGGAACAGCTGCTTCTTTCACTTAGCAATTTGGTTTCAAGGAGACACTAAGCTTCAGTTCTTCTGTAAGAGCTTTGATTATCTTATTGTATCTTTGGGCATGACTTCACTTAAAGTTTATTTTTAAGCTAATAAAACAGCTGTGGAAAATGGATTTTTTTTTTCCTAAACAGTTGTCCATGGCATACTCTGAAATATGTAT